AACTTAAGTGTCTATATATATATATATATATATATATATATATATATATTATATATATAAAATAAATTGTGTAAAGTTCACTTTAATAATGGCTATTAAAATTGTCACCGTAATTTATCATAAAACACAATGAAGTTGTATATCGAGGAAAAATCACAAGTAGAGAATTAAATAATGGAACAAACTTAAGGAATGGTTCATGAAATGGTGTCCTCCATAATGAGGAAAATAGAGTTAATAATGGGAGTATGTCAAATTAATCCATGAGGAAAACCTAATAGGCACACAAAAAAATCAATGAAGCTTGGGAATTTGATCATGAACCATATTAATAAGTCATGAAATGCCTACCTCACTATGAAAGACGAAAAAACTACGCATCCCAAGCCTAACCGAAGCAAGGAAAATTACTAAATACATAAAGATCTAGTTGCCAAACAAAATTCATGGATTCTATATGTTGATCCTATGATTGGACATATGGGGAATTCTTGGACAAGATGAATGTTAACAAAAAGGTCACACGTGGTTAAGACAACATGGAACTCTCTCTCAACAAGATGAAACAAAATGAACCTTTGGATGATCATTATGTGTTATTTGTGATGAAAACACAAGGGAAACATGAATACATGGGAGCATATTAAGAAAAAGTCATTATTAGAGAATTAAAATAATGAAGAAAAAAAAAAGGAATAGATCAAGAAATGTTGCCCTCCAAAATGAAGAATATAGGGTAACTAATGAGAGTACAACATGGAGTAAACTTAAGTAGAACATGCAAAAAAAAAAAAAAAATTGTTGACGAACCTTGGGAATTTGATCAGGGACCTCCATATTAATTAGTTGTGACATGCCCACTTCACTGAGAAAGATGAAAACAATTGCACGTGTCTAAACCTAATAAATCATAAGAAATAAGTGTATAAAGATTTAACAGCCAAACAAAATTCCTAGGCCCATGTTGATCCTATGATTGGATATGGGGAACTCTTAGACAATGTGAATATGAAACAAAAGGCACAAGTGAAGACTACATGGAGTCATCTCAACAATATATAACAAAAAGGTACATTTCGATGATTGTTATGTATTATTTTTTATAATAACACAAGGGGAGCTTGAATACGAGGAGCATATAAAGGAAAATAGTCACTAGTAGAGAATTAAAATATCATAATAAAATTTGGGAATGGATTATGGAATGGTGTCCTCCAAAATGAGGAAGATGGAATCAATGATCGGAGTATGTCAAAAATTAACACATGGAGAAAACCTATGCAAAACATGCTAAATAAATATCATTAAATTTTCATAATTTGATCATGGGTCTACCATATTAATTAGTTATGAATCCCCCACCTCCCTCATTAAGAAATTAAGGCGAAACAATTTGTTCGTGACAAAGCGTAACCAAATCATGGGAAATAAATGCAAAAACAAAATTGACTACCAAACCAAATTTAGGGACCTATGTTGATCTTATGATTGAATATGGGAAACTTTGGGCTTAACATGAATGTTAACAAAAAGGCAACAAGTTGTTAAGATAACATGAAACCCTCTCAACAAACAAAACAAAGTGATTCTCGAACTCATAATAATATTGATAGGATACAAGGTATTTATGATAAAAAAGAAAAATGTAATTTGATGATCTTAAAGATAATGAAATACTTGCAACAAGAAAAAAAGGTTGGTGTGTGAAAATATCTCATAGTCAGGGTTTTTTTAAAATGAAATATCCAAATCAAGGAAATAAACATGTAGTGGCTAAAGAAAATCCATCTCAATCAATTCATGAAATTATAGAGGAGTCTAGAAGTACTTCAAGAACCATTATTGGGTCTTTTAACCCATAATTTTCTTTAATATTTTTATATGAATCTTTTATCTTAGAATTGTAGGGTTAGTTGGTAATACCTAATTAATGGAAAAATAAATTAATTAGATAGATAATTAAATGTGACACCATAACACCATCATCAAGCAAAGGAGCACCACATAGAGAGTATGTCAATAGGCAAGCGACAAACACTACACAAAGATAAGGACAACGTTAACAAATCAACACCTCATGCTCACATAAGTAACCATTTTGAACCTAATCCAAATCATTTTCAACTTGGCCAAATAGGCCCAAACCAAAAGGAAAGCTTCTTTGACTAGTCCAATAAGCTCAATTCAACAATAAACCCATACAATATAAGCAATGAGCTCCTAAACCCCACACCTGAAGGTGGCAAAACAGGTTGGACGTATTGAGCTAACCTTTTTTTTTTTTTTTTTTTTTAAAAATGGGTTGAGATTTTCAACCTATCAATCTACTTTTGACCCACTTTGTTTTGAGTCACCAAAAAATGAGTTGAAGGTGAATCAGGATGAGTCAACCTACCAACCGTTTTCTTTCTTAATTTAAATTTTCTTAAAATATGTTACTTTTTGTGTGTTGTAGTTTCACTTAATTATATTAATATGTAATATTTAAATAAAATAATAGTATTATTTTTTTATCTTTTTGAATTTATGTTTGGTATTATAGTATATTTAATTATACAAGAACATTAACTAAGTGTAAATTATTATGTTATTAAATTTTTATGATTTTTTTAATTTAATTTACTGTGTTTATATAATATTTTTTTCAAAAGTTAAGTTAATATATTTATCTTTTCAATAAATATTACATATAAATAAAATTAAATTTTATTTTTTAATAATTTTAAGTGTGTTGACCCATCATCCCATCAATAAACGAAACATTTTTAAAATTATAACTCATTTTTCTATGAAGGACAGGTTGACCTGTTTTTGGTGGGTCAATAGTAGGGTGGGATGGGTTGAACTCTTTTACCACTCCAATCCTTAATGACTCCAACAATTGTAAACCTTGGCATATCAAAGATTTGAATACTATCTTATCTATCATTACCAACATGTGTTTGGGAAATGTAAGTCTCACATCAATTTTTTTCAATTCACTTTCAATTTTTTCTAATACACTTCTCATGTCCAATATTATTGAACTTAGTACATAGATAATATGGTGGATGACCTTTTTAATGAGTAGGATGTATTTTAATATTATCTTAAGAATTGAGTTTGAGTCCAAATTAATCCTACAAAACTATTTTATAATATGAAAGTTATTCTTTATTTATATATTTTATTGAATTCTTTCCAAACTCTATCACGTCTAATATTATTAAATATAATGCAGATTAATATAGAAGGTGACCCTTTTATTGATCTAGGATAGATTCTGATATTATTTTAAAAATGTTAATTTAAACATAATTCAACTTTAAAAAATTAATTTGTAAAGTAAAAATTGTTCTTTATTTATATACTATTTTAAAATAAGGGGACATGGAACTTGGGTTTTCTTTTTTCCAATACGTTGTTTACTTCACCAACAACTGGGAGACCATTCTCAAGGTGAACTCTTATTGGAGATAATGGAGACTGTCTTGAGGACATGTGAGAAGCACATGCTCTTTGACTTTGGCTTGGTAAGAAACGAAACCTAAATCTGCAGTAGTATGTTAGCATAGGCAAGAACGTCAAGTGTTCCCATTAGAACCTCGAAGAAGAGCAATTATATATAGCCATTGGACTTCAAAGCAGAACAGCAGAGTTTGATGATTGAGTTGGGACAAAGACAACCAGGTTACCTGCTTCATTACACTAATCCTATGCTTGTTTCATCTGAATGGTTTCCACCTTATTTAGGAATGCAATTTGGTTGGATTCTTTCATTCTGAACAAAAATATTACTTAACTCATTGATATAGCTAAGACTAACTTTGAATAACTGTTAAGATCACAACTACTGATCAACCCCTCACTCAAAACTCCGGTTTAAAGAGGAAAACGTGTCATAGGATCACTTCATTCTTAATCTGTCTCAAATTTATATTAATTAGCAACTTGTGTTATCAAAATTATGGCCGTATCAGAAAATCGTATTTCTGTTTAGCTTCTCTTTTGGTACAGATTTTTCTAATTGAAAATGACAATGTGCACATTTATTTGGAAGGTTATAACACCAGAGAAAAGCCACTAACATAAAATCCCTGAGACCAGGGGAAGGAGCTACTAAAACCTCACACAAACATGCTTGTTTCCGTGCAATATTAGCTGACTAAAGTTGCCAATGTCTTGGCAAGAAGTAAATTACAGCCATATGGAACTAAAACAATTAAGAGCAGACCAAATCACATAGGTTCTTGCTCTAGTTGCACATTTTGTAGCAAACAAATGACAAAGATGAGCATTGTCGTTGCAATCCAAAGATGTTCCTCGACATATCATGTTTGAGTTCCATTTGCATTGGATTGCTTCTCTTGTTGGGGTTTTGTGTCACCCATCTCCATGGATTCTTCCTCTGTTTGGGCTTGCCTTTTTGCAACACCTTTCTTTTCTCGGTATATGAAATACAATATTAGTTGCATTGTCCCCAAAGCAGAACCAACGCCATTAGGTACCTGAAAATTAAACCATACCTGACCCTTAGTTTGTTCTTCTTCACTGCCAAAAATAAATATGAAACTACGTATTGAAATTGCAAAGTGACATACTGCTACAAATGGGTCACGGCCTAGCAGGCCAAAGATAAACCAGGAAGTGCCGCAGAGAAACACAAACAGTGACAAGAAGAAGGGCATGAACTCCACACTCTTGGTTTTGATCACTAGTCTCTGCACACAGTTTCAAATCCACAATTAACACAACAATGAACCTTGAACTATTAGTATCACCTATACAAATAGCACGTTTTGTTTGGTAGTGTTGCCAGTGCCAGTGGCTTTCCAAATTTGTACATGTTTTTTACATTGACAAATTAGCTATGTGAACCAAAAGTTGCATAGAACTGTTAATCAATCTAGTGTTACGACAATTTATTAAGAAATTAATAAACAGTGAGTATATGTAAGAAAATTATAAAATTGGTGAAATTTACTTTGTTAAATTTTAACCAGCAATTGTTATAACTACAATTCAGTTAGCTGGAAACTTGGCTTACCATAATTGAGAGTGGCGAGCCATACATGATTATGGAAAATATGGCAGGAGCGAAGCCACAAAAGAGTTTTCTGGCATTGGCATGCAGGGCAAAAAGTGACACGAAAACAACAGCAGAGAACACCGAGAGCACAAAGGTGAAGAGACCAAGAATTTTAGCCTTTTCTTTCCTTGGTGCCAATGTGATGAAGATCAACACGTATATGATTTCAATCAAAGCACCTGTGCCATTAACTGTTGACACTAATATGTTGTGGGGAGACACAAAAGGCAGACCATACCTGACGGTTTAAAAATCATTACATTAGGGACAAAACACGAACTTTTACTAGGAACTATCTTTGTTTTAAATTTTAATATAATTGATTTTTTGAAGCATTGAATTTATTAAAGTACATGTAAAATTGATTACGAGAATAAATCAATTAAGAGGCTATAAATACAAGCTAAAGCAATGGTGTACCATTTAGTAGCTAGCAAGATTTGGATATAGTTTTCTACACAAGAATTTATTTAGCAATTGAAAGCGAAAATTCAACTACTATTTGAATTCTGTCCGACAAAATGAACCCCCCTCCCCCACAAAAAAAATACCCCACCATTAAGAAATTTAACTAAGAGACAAGGAACTTTTCTCAAATAAAAAGCATGGTACGGAAAGAAATATTATCCGGGTATAAGAAATGATAATTTACATTTACATGAGGAAAAAGAGCAGCAAAAATAAAGACAGGTGGACTAAGTAGCAAAAATAAAGACCAGAAAAATGAAAAGTACACGTGATTTGACAGAAGATTTGTGGAGAGAAGACCACAAAAGAAAGAACAAGCTAGAAGCTCACCAAGCTGAAAGGAGACAATTAAGCAGTGTCATGACATATGGAATGCCCGAGAACTTCTCCGTGGATCTGTTCTTTATAATCCTCTTGAATGTGATCCTACAAACCCCAACTCGTCAAATTTTCCCTCAAACTTGCACTATTCCATATATCCAAACAACATAAAAAAAAATGCTGAATTTATGCAATAGTTGAATAGCTCTATTCGGTATATTTCTTAGTTAGTTCAACTATTTGTTGGAGTGAAAAATTTCCCCTACTTATATACAGTTTTGTAAATATCCCGTGTATAAAGTTTAGGAATGATTCAATAACAAATAGTTTGGTGCAACAAAAGTTATCTGAAAGCAAGCACATTAGAAGTTAGTTTAGACTTAATCTCAAAAACTAGTTCATTTGTTTTTATTTATATATTATTTTAAACATGTCATTAATTAACGTGATGTCCAACAAATCATGTTCAGGTTGTAAATATACAAAATAATGAAAAGTTTTAAGAGGGTCCATGGGTCAGAGAAAGATATTTAAGACTCCAATACCCACAACCAGGAAATAAAAAAGCCACTATTTAATAGAGATAACAGAGTCAGAGAGAGAAGGAGGCAGCTATGTAACGCATACACTGGAGCCAAGAAGAGGAACAGAGCGGAGGCATTTCCTATACCAATAAAGAAGAACAGTGAGAAACAGAAGAACCACAAGTTCAGAAGCCAAGACTCCTAACTAAACAAAAACTTTCATGAGAAAAACACATGTAAAACTAAAAGGGTGGTATTAAACCTACCAAATATGCCAAATAAAAAATGTGCAACTTCCATGACCTTTGATGTTTGTTATGTTTTCTTTGTTCTGCCTAATCCGCAGATGTGGATGGAGAAATAACCCTTGGAGTTGAGAGACTCAAATAATGCGTGTTTCTTTAGAAATAGCAAGGAGCTACGATGATAGGAGAGTACAAGTTAGTGGGTATATATAGGAAAAAGGAACAAACAACGCAAGGTTAAATACAGTATAATATTGAATTTGGTCTTATCCTTGGGTTGAGAACTGTTTTCCTTCATAACCATAACCATAACCATAATCATAATCATGTATCCGGTCTTTGTCATGTGTCTGATTTGCGCCAACCCCAAATAATGCAGATGCTTATGCTATGTATATCATCATCAATGTCATGCTAGTACATAATTCACGGGATGAGGTAAAGGAAAATATGATAGTTCCACATGACATCAACACAACACGAGACATGTGTGCAGTGCAACAGTGTAGCTGTAGCTAGCTTCTACCATTAAGAAACAGTTGCAATCAGATTTTAACTCAACTGTTAAATAAAATATAATTTAACTTCTTGGTGAATTTATACCATGGATCATTTTTTAACCAGACAAAAACCCCGCAGAAAAGAACCTTGTTTGGATTCTGAAAATATGTTTGCTCTTTGTAAATAAAATAAACATCAACTTTTAGTATCTTGCTTCTTCTGTGTTTTTCACCCTTGTTTATGAAATTCTATGTTTAGGTTCTGGGAACAAACTCGGGGATAAAAACTCGCAAGTTGCGTGTAAGAACTTGACTCCGAAAATCTGTAATTTGTTGGGGATTGGAAGTGATAGGAATTGTTGTGCTTTAACAAAAAAAAGTATATCAATTAGCCTAGTTTTACTAGATTCCCCTAGGTGGTCATAGAATTCCACGATTAATCCTTTGGTGGATAATCCAAGGGCCAAGAGTTCAATTACGTTGTGAATTGTGCTACTTGCTGTGGCTAAAACAGAGTGTGAGTGTGTCTATGTATACTTCCTAGTCCTTCTATGTGTGTCTGGACATTTTTTATTAGGCAATTACAATTTACATTTGATATATATCATAGAATAAAATTTTGAATAACAAAGAAAGTCTAAACAAGGATATAAGAAGAGTATATAGTAAATAAAAAAATGAATTTTAAAGAAATATTATATAATTTTAATAAAAAGTATATGTGTAAATTAATATAGATGACGTTGTATTGAAATAAAAATTGAACAGGTTAAGAAATGAATTTAATTATATTCATTGTAAGTAATAGTTAAAACAACAAGAGACTAAATATTGTTATGATAGATCAAAATATCTAAATTAATTAAAACTTTATCTACTTCAAGATATTACAATAATGTGAAAATTAACATACTATTCAATATATTTACTAGCGCGATTAAACTACACTTTTAATTGTTTTTGATATTATAATCATAAGTGATTAAAAAATGCAATTAAGTCACATTAACATGTGTGTTTGACAACATGTTAGTTTCCATTTCATTATTTAGAATTACATCGATAAAATCTATTAAATATTTAATAAAAGATTTGGGTAAAGGTTGAAATTATACGGTCATCAAATTTAAATAACTTAATTTACATATCAAAATTAAATAATTATGATACACATGTTAAAGTACCATTAATCAATTATAGGGCTAAAATGAATATTAGGCTTCAAGGGAATGTGCTTAATCTTTCTATTTGCCATTCCAACTTGAGTAACCAAATTAGAAGGAAATTGGGTTTAAGGTAATAACAACCCATCATTAGAGAGATAACCTTTGTACTATATTCGAGAAAGCAACAAGACAAGCAGCATGCTCAAGCTTGACGTACACGTGAGATTGAAGAACATATAAAAATAAAAGATATGCATACAACTATTTCATTGTTACCATTATCATATTAATTATTTCATTACTATTGATATTAAAAGCTTTTATTAAATAGTTGTTAATAGATTCATTATTTGTACATTATACATGATGTGATAGAGTAAGTTTTAGGAAATAAATAATAATTTCAATTTTTTTATATTCTCTTTCGTACTTTTTATTTTGGACATACAAGATGTTTTGATTTCAAGTGTACTCCGTTAAATATAATATTGTATAAACTTTGATGAATAAACCAAAATTTGAATTGTAAAAAAATCTACCAAAATTTACTTTTCAAAATAGTTATTAATATCACAACATGACATTCTTTTTTGGCTTTGTTTGGATTTGAAGATGGAAAAGAGAGAATGGAAAAGGAGAGATTTGAAGGGAAAGTGAGTGGAAATTGAGGTTGTTTGGATTAAGGAAAAGTGAGTGAAAAGTGTAGAGAAAGTTTGTGAAAGTTTATGAATGAATTGATTGATGTGATAGATAAAAATAAATTTTTTAATTGATAATTGTGAAAGATTACTATTTTGCCCTTAGGTTAAAAAAAGTTTATAATTATTATAATTAAAAGATAAATATATAAATTTTAACTAAAAAAATTTATAAAATATTAATTTAAAAATAAATTAATTTAAATATTTGCTTTAAATTTAATGATAGATAAAAAAATAAAAATTTAATAGATGAATATATAATTTACACTTTTACCCTTGGATTAAAAATGAGTATAATATTATTTATTGTAATTAATAATAATTACAATAAAATTATATTAATAGGTATAATTTA